TGAATTATGGTAAGTTTCAATTCAAAGTTATTGAGTTGGATAATCTGTTTATTAATATTATGAGAAATTTCTTCTACTACAGGGTTAACATATTCTCTAAGAGGTATAGAATAATCTCGATCTTACATTAGTTTAAACACCTCTAAGCTCTTTTTTTTTTTTTTTAACATTTTTATAAGAGTCATTTCTATCTAAGGGTCAACAACAAGGGCTCCTTATTAGATCCACCAAGCATGCAACAATGATAAAATAACTTAAATACAGATTATAAGCTAAACAATTAACAAAATACTTTTTTGACATTTTCAAAATTTTATCAAATAGAATAAAGATATATAATACAAGTAGGTCTAAATATATACTTGTTTCAACAATATAATTAAAATTGCAATACACACTTTACTTTCCCAATAATGGCGCCAAAAACTTAATGTGGGGCTTGGCTTTGGTGCTTGCTTTGAATTGTCATGAAAATATGCTTAGGTTGTCTTTAATATAAAATAATGAAAATCCACTAAAATACATAAATATACGTGCCGATCAAGTAATAAAGTCTTAGAAGAATGTCAATCCCACATGGAAGTATTTTACTTAATTATAATTACACTCATACTGCTTACTTCAAATGCATAATTTATCCTACTTGTTGCGTCCTAAAATATTCGCAAAATCCCTGAAAAGGGGAAAAAATCATGGGGCCTGGCCCAGTTTGAATGAATCCAGTAATATTTGCAGTCAATTAAAAATAAGGCCCTTCCTTTGGAGAAGGCCTTGGCATGATGTCATAAATGTTCATCATATAGAGCACATTACATGGTGGGAGTTATAATAATCAACATAGACATATTTGTTTGGTCGGTAGGGCCATAATCGATAGGATAGAAGTCAGAAAGACTGTAGAAGGCGATGGAGGTCAGAAATACCATTGTCTTGCGATGGAGGTCGAAAGTACCGTAGTAGGCAACAGAGGTCGGTAGGACCATAGTTGGCAGGAGACAGGGGTTTGAAAGACCGTAGTTGGCAGAAGAACGGGGTTAGAAAGACCATTATTGTAGAGATGTACTTCGATAGAACTCCAGATATCAGGTGGTGGTCCGACAGGTGGTGGTTCGGTAGAAGTCTTGGCCACATGTGGTGGTCCGGCAGAAGTTTGGCATCACGTGATGGTCCAAGAGAAGTCCGGGCATCAAGTGGTGGTCCGACGGAAGTCTGGGCATCAAGTGGTGGTCTGAGAGAAGTTCGGGCTTCAAGTGGTAGTCCGACAGAAGTTCGAGCGCCAGGTGGTAGTTCAGGAGAAGTTCAGACATCAAGTGGTGGTCTGGCAGAAATCTAGGCCTCAAGTGGTGGTCCGCCAAAAGTTTGCCTGCCACGTGGTGATCCGGGAGAAGTCCGGGCATCAGGTGGTGGTTTGGCAGAACCCAGGGCCTCAAGTGGTGGTTTGGCGGAGCTTAGTGCTTCAAGTGGTGGTCTAACGGAGCTCAAGGCCTCAAGTGATGGTCTGATAGAGCTTAGAGCCTCAAGTAGTGGTTTGACGGAGGTGAGAGCCTCAAGTGGTGGTCCGACAGAGCAACGACTTCAGACGGTGGTCCGACAGAACTTAGGTGGTGGTCGAGGAGGAGCGAGGAGGCAAGAGAAATCTCCGATCTCTCTCTTACTCTCTTGCTTGGAGCCTTCCCTTTCAAGAGGGAGGAGGGGTCTATTAATAGATTCCTAGAGTGGCATGACCCGTAAATAGGTGGGATATCAAAGGCATATGGGGAGTGGCTTGGATGGACGGTCGATATTGAATCCCTTGATCATGGATGGTTTGATGGACATTTGAATATCTTAGTGATGTCAGAATTCGGTGATATTGGGCTCGTTGGATTTGTTTCGTCGAGCCGCTCGATTCGACTATAAGCACATCATGTTTAGAAACCGTTTGGTAATCCAAATTGTGGTTCAAACCCTCCAACAGTGCTTCAGACCCTTGATTTGGATCCATTTAGACTCGGATTAAGTCGATTTTGGTGTCGTTGGGTTCATATTTCCGAGACGCTTAGTTTGACTATATTGAAATCAAAGTTTGGATGATCCCAATTTTAATTTTTAAAGTTTACAACATGATTTTGCCTCGAGATTCGTGCCCGATTAAGATAATTTTTCGAGGAGGTGTCACTAGTAAAAGTAAAAATATATATTTTTTAGTTTATCACTTCAAAAAAAATTTCAAGAAGATTTAATACCAATAAAAATAAAATATTTTAGACTAATGAATGCAATAACATAATTTTCCTAATAAGACTCTTAATTTAAGATGTGGATTAGAGTATTTGCATCTCTATAGATCTCTATCAAGCTTGAAGGGGTGAAAAAAAAAGTTTATGACCTTCCTACAATTTTATTATCACTACTAAAAGTAAAAATAGATATTCTACAAATTTATAATTCTTAGTGTGTTTTTTTAATGCCCCCTTAAAGTAAAGTCTAAGGGAGGCTAGAAAAGTACAAGATACTTGTATTGGGAGATATTAGTCTGTATTGTAAGAGCAACTTATTGTTGGAGAAAGGAGTGTGGAGCAGATCAATTGACCCTTCTACGTATCTTATACTTTTCTACAATATAGCTAAAAATTTATTTATAGGAAGTACATGGATGGGCTCAGACATCACGACTCTTGACAAGATGGCATCGCGACGGTATAAAATGAAGTAGCGCCATAGCGTTGTAATGTTTGCTCAGCTGCAGCGCTAGATGACCTGACATGATTAATGGCTGATAAACCAGTACGTCTTTTGGCTGAGTCGGCTAGTTTTTTGTCTCAACAACTTCTCCGTCGTAGTGCTTCGAAATTTGAGCGTTGCGGCTCTTGAATGTGACTTTTGGTGCTGAGGGGTTGCAAGGCTAATTGCTTTGACATTCATTTTTTCGATGCTCCAGCACTGTGGTGCTGAATTTGGGCACATCAGCAATTACCTTAGTGTCGTTGTGGCGCTGGAAAATAGAGAAACTGGCACAACAATGATTGAATTAGGCACCTTGGCGTTGACGATCATAATGCTGAGTCGCTGTGTCTGATGGCACTGCTTAGTACTTGTAGTTATTTTTTTTCCTGTATATTTCCTAAACAAATACAACTAAAAAAATATTTTTACTTAATTTAAACACAATAAACAATATACAATTTATACTTAACACCGAACAAGGTTAATTTTTTGACGACATATCAACTATCCAATTAGCAATTGATTGTGTTGAAAACTATAAAAAAGTAAGAGAATTGTTACATGAAAGTATATCTTGGTATTCTTGTGATGCACATTATTTGAATATCATTTTAAAAGATATTTGTGAAATAAAACATTGTAGATCTTACCAAAAGTGCTTCTAAAGTGATCATATTTATTTATAATCATGCTTTATTGCTATATTGGCTATGTAAAAAATTAGGTTGGAAAGAAATGGTGTGGCCTTGAACTACAAGGTTTGTAATACATTTATTGCTTTAAAATGTATTAATGAGGATAATCTTGAGTTGCAAGCATTGATAATTAGTAAGTATTTTACTAATTCAAAGTTGTCAAAAATAATAAAAAGGAAAGAGACAACTTCTATCATTTTGCTTATAATGTCAAAATTAGTAGCCCCACTCATGAGATTATTACAAGTGGTTGACTAAGAAGAGAAGCATTGCTTGGTTATCTTTATAATGGAATGTACATTGAAAAGAAGAAAATGAAAATTATCTTAAAAAAAGGAATGTAGAAGCAACATATAAGTATTATTAAGGCTTCATTTGGGACGGTTTTCTTATTGCTTTTTAAAGTAGCTTTCTGGTACAATTTTTTTTTTTTAATTTTTTTTAACTAAAAAGTAGCTTCAAGAAGCAATAAAAAACCGTCTTAAATGAAGCCTAAGAGGAGATGGGATGGATAGCTTCGCCAAATTATTAGCTCTATTGCATATTTTTTGAACCTTCATTTTCAATGCGATTAAAAAAATAATACAAATGCAATAAACCTAAACTTGTAAGCAAAGATGTGAGAATTTATAGTGATTATTTAGAAACCTTTTGGCAAGACAATTGCTCTTACAATGTTCAAAGAAATGCAACCGGATTAGTTCATTACATTTATGACTTTGTATTTTCTTAAAATCAATCAACATTTATCATGTTTAGAAGAATAGTGAAATATGTTTGACTATAATATTCTAAATTTACAGAAGTTGACTATTCATAGTCTTAGTCTATCTTCTTATTCTTCTATATGCAAGAGAAGTTAAATTATTTTTTGAACAAATCATATAAAGAGAAAATTATTTCGAGCATCAAAGTCAAAATGATCTTATATATGTTTGAAATAAAAATTTAGATTTATTAACTATTAATAACTGCTCGAGTTTCAGTCGATGAAGGAGAGACTAAAGCCCCTCAATTATTATTCTATTCACTTATTAAATATAGTTAGTTATTAATATTCATTTTAAATTCTAAAAATTTTCTTACATTATTGTGATATATAAATAAATAAATTATATATATATATATATGGTTGTAATTATGATACTAAAATGTTATATAAATAAATAGTAAAATATATGATGTAGTGGATCGTCGGAAGACTCGACCTGCAAGAAGGATTTCAATTTTTCCAATCCAGGGAAGAAGAAGAAAGCTCTAAGGCTTCAAAGACTAATATTTCTTTCAATGACCTCCATCCTTTACAATAGCCAACTATTTAAAGAGGAAAATAGAACTATCTAGACTAAGGAAGGTAAACTAGTCCCTAAGCATAATATAAGCTAAGATGTTCCTACATCAATATAAGTATTAGATATGTAATTACATAAAAATTGTATGATGTTTAAGTAATTTTTTTTTTTTAAAAAATAATAATAAATAAAGTAATGGTTTTTGTTTTGGCATTTAAAATAAAGAAAAAATTAATATATTTAAAAATATACTTTTTTATATATATAATTTCCAGATAACTAAGTGCGTATATCAATTTCGGATTTTGGCTGTATAAGCACGGTAGCTTCTAACCCGTTTCATTTTTGCTTCCACCACCTCCATCCTCTCTATATTCCTCCAATTATTTGCCTCTCCTCCCTCCTCGTCTTCTCCCTCCCTCCGTCCCCATACCTTCTGGTCATCCCTTCCTCCTCCGCATGAAGAGGCTAGTAAGTACGTTATTTCTTTGATCTATTTGTTCTTTTTCGTTTTTTTTTTTTCCCTTAAAGGAGCCGTTTTTCTCCATTGCTCAGATTTTTCACTGGCTGTGTTCTAATTAATTATGGCTTCTATGATTTCCCCCCCTTCTTCCTTCTCCATCAGATTCATACCTCTCTGTTTGTTTACGCTGAAGAGATTTACTTTTTTTCCTGTTTGCTGTTTGTTTTGGATCTTGCCGACATGGGGTTTATTATTACCATTTTTAGGTCCAAAGAAAAATTTTATGTGATTGATTATTGCCGACATGGCCGTTCTTTGTCTTTCAGATCATAAAAACCTCTGAAGATTATTTATTTTTGTTCTAATGTTCATACCAGCTCAGAAAGAAGACCCTCATTGGCTCAATCATCCTCGTTTTGGATCACCTATCAGATTTCTCAGTCTTTTTTACTGAATTTTACGTCAGTAAAACTTTAGCCAAGTGTGCAAACTTTGCTCAGATTAAAAAGCAAGTATCTTTGTTGCCCATATTCCAATTTTACTACCAAATTACTCATCTCCAGCAAATTCACGTTTTGATCAATTTGTAGGAATTTCAGTACTTATGAATTGAGCCAGCTTCCTTTTATGCCCGTGAACTGTTTGTATTTTTTCCAAAGAAAGCTAACTTTTGTGCCTTTTTCTTGTCTTTTGTTACATTAGGTGACATTGCTACTGGTTCTAGTAGTGGTTGCTACCATTAAGGGTATTCAAGATGTTGATGGGCCTTGTAAATTTAAAAGAACAGTGGCCCCAAGACCCCATAGCGTTACACTTACTGAGTTTGGAGCTGTTGGAGATGGAGTGACGTTGAATACCATTGCATTTCAGAATGCAATCTTCTATTTAAGGTCTTTTGCTGATAAGGGTGGAGCTCAGCTTTATGTTCCCGAAGGGAAATGGCTTACAGGAAGCTTCAACCTCATTAGCCACCTCACTCTATTTCTTGACAAAGGAGCTGTCATCATTGGAACTCAGGTCAATTTCCCTTGTTCTGGCCTTTATTCTTTAATCTTTATTTTTTTCTTGCGTGATAAGTAAGCTAAAGCTTTTTATGCTAACATTTGCCATTGGGCCACTGGTACTTCAATTTATTTGATGTTTTTAGATAGGAATTAGAGAAATTTGTTGGAATTACTCGTCAATGAATAAATCATTAATTCCATGATTTGTAAATGATGACTACTACAATTATTGCATACCACTGGCACCTGTTTACTTAAAATAAAGCACATATTTCTTGTTAAGAAAAGGCTCAAAAGGTAACAAAATAACATAAATAAAAAATGGGATCAGCTCAACTTTTTCTTAGGCAGACCAGTTATAATCTTCCTAGCAAAAAAGTGTTGCTAATTGCTTTCCCACTTTGATTAATCCACTTAAGCAAAGTGGAGTTGAATCTTCTCTTGTCTGAATTTTCTTCTGCAAGTGTGGCAGTTCTCACAATCAAATCACGGAACTTTGGAGTCCAAAAATGAATAAGTTGCCGTATTCTGTTGCTGCAAAATGCAGAATTTTATCAACTATTTCATGAAATTTACCTTTTCAATTTGGTAAAAGTGAAGTTTTTTTTGTTTTTCCCTCTTCTTGCAGGACCTATCACAATGGCCAACAGCTGAGCCTTTACCTTCATATGGCCGTGGAATAGAACTTCCAGGGCGAAGGTATCAAAGTTTGATCAATGGCAACAATTTGACTGATATAGCCATAACAGGCATGGGCAGAGACCTCATTTTATAACCTTTTTAGCTGATACTTTCATCCTTTGAACCATTACTCATGCTCATTTTATCTTATTAAACAGGGGATAATGGAATCATAGATGGACTGGGTTCTGTGTGGTGGGATTCTTACATTTCCCATACTTTGAAATATAGTCGGCCTCATCTTATTGAGCTTGTGAATTCTAATGGTGTTCTGATCTCAAATTTGACTTTCATAAATCCACCGGCATGGACAATTCATCCTGTTTACTGTAGGTGCGTTTTTGGAAAATGTTTGGTATGTTATTTATTGCTCCCAAGGAAAATTTTTAAACTTTTAAATGTATTTGCATTGGAAGTTAACTCAAAGCATTTTGTGCATGTACTTCAGCAATTTAGAGGTTCATAATACAACAATTTTTGCTCCATCGGACTCTCCATTTACAAATGGTATTGTCCCAGGTAAGCTTCTAATCTGTTCTTCCACCTTTTATTTCTTTTAATTACTGTTTTTCTTGGATCTGCTACTCAGGCGAAAAATTCAGAGGAAATAATAACTAGCTTAAAGACTCAATTGCAACCATTCTAGTTTTCTGCAACTACAAGGGTAACATTCCAAAGTGTGTTTGGCCACATAAAACAAAACAAACAAACAAACAAAATTTTTTTTTTTGCCTAATTTGTTTGCACATTTTTTGTCATATTTTGTACGTTGATTGGTATAAAGGAGTAATCCATACATTGAACCTTGCTATCCATTAGTTGAATCTGGTCAGTATAGAATATATTATGTTATATTCTCCTTTTATACTGCAGATTTACATTTCTTCTTCTTTTATTTTCCAACAAGGCTTTCTTCCATGAGTGCTAATGTCTTATCAGTTTTAATTCTTATCATATATATTAGAATTTTACCATCATATTAGCAAGTCATGCAGACCTGGAGTCGAATTTCAACAATAAATTGATTACCTGATTTTCTCAACTTAAGTTTTGTTTGGGATGTTTTTTTTTTGCTTCTTAAAACAACTTTCTAGTTTAAAATTAAAATTTTTATACTTGAAAATTGCTTTAAGAAATAGTAAGAAAACTGTCCCAAACAAAGCCTTAATTTCGTAGGAAAAACATATATAGCGGGAACTATTAAATTTCGAAGTTTTCTCAAGTGTTCTTAGAAACTTTAAACCTATTACAGCAACATAATAGTTTTTGCTTTGAAAAGATTGAATAATCCTAAAGTTGGGAGCAATGATAAATACATAATGTTGATAAATTTTATTTTACATTCAGATTCATGCTCAGATATATGCATTGAAGACACTACCATCTCTGTGGGACATGATGCAATCACCATCAAAAGTGGTTGGGATGAGTATGGAATCTCCTACTCAACACCCTCCACCAACATCCAAATTACCAATGTCTTCCTCCAATCTCCTTCTGGCTCAGCTCTCGCATTCGGCAGCGAGATGTCGGGTGGAATCTCAAACATCCATGCCGACCATCTCAGAATCTACGGCTCACAATTCGGCATCAACTTCAAGACTACCCGAGGCCGTGGCGGTTTCATCAATGACATCTTAATCTCTGATGTAGAGATGAATTCTGTTGGAACTGCAATTCAGTTCACCGGGCATTGTGGCGGTCACCCTGATGATCTTTATGATCCTGAAGCTCTCCCGGTGATCAATCGAGTTACAATCGAGAATGTCGTTGGAACCAATATCTCTGCTGCTGGTGCTTTGTACGGTATTGAACTTGATCCATTCACTGCCATTTGTCTCTCAAATATGAACATAACGGTCGAATCTACTGAAACTTCAGCTTCATGGAATTGCTCCAATGTATCAGGGTTCTCGCAGAATGTCTTCCCTGAACCATGTTCTGATCTTCAATTACATTACTCTAATTCATCATTGCTATGCTATTCCCTAGTAAACTATTCGTATATTCCCTTGGCTACAGTATAAGTAGTTCTCTCTTCTTCTGCTTTTGTTGTGGATCTCTATATATTGTGCAATATCCCTTTCTTCCCTTCCTCTTGATGTATCTTGCAGTTCATTCTTTTCCTGTCCAATAAGTTTATTCATTGGAAGATAAAGCTGATCATCTTTGCTTATCAGAGCCCCAAAGCTTATGTATTGTACAGCTATGTTTGTTCCATTCAAATCTGTAAGAAAAATTTTGAGCTTATGGCAATGCAATGCATTTGATTTCATTTGTTGCATGGATATTGTTCAAACATTTGAATGATAGTATAGTGATTTTTCCGCTCTTTTTTTTTATTATTTTTTTAGTGATTTTTCTGCTCTTGTTTTCGCCGAATGGATGAAGTTTGTTTGTCGTTTTTATTTGAAAATTTGAATGAATTTAATCACAAATTCAAACATAACGTATATGCGAAGACTCGAATCCAAAATGTCTTGCAATCAATAGGATAAATTGGGCTGCATTGGCTTGAAACTAGATATTGCAACATACACCGATTCTTTTTTTAGGTGAGTGTGAAGATTTTTTTTTTCAATATTATTTTATTTTATGCAAATTTTATTTTACATAACTAGACTGTAAAACTCTCTCTCTGAATAGCATGCTCCATTAGCGCGCAATTCGGCAATTCACACAACAAGCCTTCATATATATCAGAAATGGATTTAAACATGTAATAATCTAGTGAACATTTGAATTGTAGTTTTTAAATTAAATTTAGGACTATATAGACTCATATATAACCAAATTTATAATTGTTGCGGGCTAAAATATACGCGGCGATAGAGTTTGTGATTTTACGTCCAAGCGTTGTACGAATATTCAGCACACACAAACAAAAGATAAAAAGGGAACACCAGAATTTTTACGTGGAAAACCCGAAAGAGGGAAAAACCCACGGGGCCACGCTCAGCTGAAGTAATTTCACTAGTGTTTGTTTGAAGTACAAAGGCTGATTCGTGCCACAAGTTAGGACGATCAGATTACAATCAATTTCTTCTAAATTGAAACAAAGTTACAATGTTCTGCAGAATTCCGTCGTCTCCCGAATATCCGACAGAATTCCGGCGTATTCAGGCGGCGGAAAAGAACTCCGGCGATGGTCGAGGAGTTGATTCTCCTTCTCTTCTTCTCTTCTTCTTCTCTCTCTTGCTTGGGTCCCCTCTTGTGAAGAATAAGGGTTCTATTTATAGTTTTTCTTGAGTGGAATGACTTGTAAATAGGTATGAGATCAGGGGCGAACAGGGAGTGGTTGAATGGACGGCTGATATTGAATCCTTTGATCATACATCGTTCGTTAGCCATTTGAAGGCCTTAGTGACGTCAGAATCTGGCGATCTTGGGCTCGTTGGATTCGTCTTGTCGAGCCGTTTGATTCGACTATAAGCTTGTTAAAATTGGAGACCGTTTGGTAACTCAAATTGTGGTACGAGCTTTCCAACAGCGCTTCGGGTGCTTGATTTTGGCTCATTTGGGCTCAGATTGATTTGAATTTGGTGTCGTTGGGTTCGTATTTCTGAGACGCTCAGTTTGACTATAAGCTCGCTGAAATCGGAGTTCGGGTGCTTCTAGATTTAGTTTTTAAAATTTCCTGATTGGTTTTTGCCTCGAGATTCGTGCCCGATCAAGATAATTTCATGATGATGCATCAATAATCAAATTGATTGGCTTGATAGGACTAGCTCAACGATTTTAAAGATGCCTAATTTGAGGCTACATCAACAGCTTGAAGCATAATTATCAAATTTAGAATATTAATTTGATGAGAAAATGAACTCTAAATTTGACATGTTTATAATTAAATCGAGCGTCTCAAAGAGATCAGAAATTCAACAAGCCCAATATCAATTAATTCTGATAACATTAAGGTACTTAAATATTGAATAAATGCTTTATAATCAAGGGAATCATTAATAATGACAGTCCCATAGAGAGTTTTCATTTGTTTCTATATCTAGGGGAATGCTACTCTTGAAAATCTAAAAGTAGCCCCCCTCCCCCTATACATGATGAGGAATATTAGTTAAATACTTAAGAGAGCTCAAAAGCTTGAAGAATCCTTGAGATGTACTTGAGCACAACTATTGTCAGACTTGTAAAACCTAGAAAATCAATGTACCGTTTAACTCATTATAGCCCAATTAGATTCAAGGTAATCCGTTAAATTTATCCATTTGAACCCTTTTACATGTGTTTGTGAATGTTTATGTGTACGTGAGAGTCTACATGTGTTCCAAACTAGATCCTGGGGGTATGTTTGAATGATTGGAAAAGTTTGATTCTTCTTATCCTTGGGGCGCTATGACGTTGTGATCAGCAACACTTTAGTGCCTATGCTCTCGAGAAAAATTGAAAAATAAATCAACATAGTGGCACTAGGGCGAATTTGCGGCATTGTGGGCTATTTAAGAGAGTGACGCGGGGCGCCATGACACTATGCCCAATTTTAATAATAAATATCATTTTCCACTAAAATCCTGTTCATTTTCCCTAAGGTGGATGCCGATTAGAGAGAGTGAGAGAGAGAGAGATTCCTAAAGAGAGTTGAATTTTGACTGCTTCGGGTTGTGTTCAGTTGACGACCTAGTTCAGAAAATTGCTCGATGATATTTTGATTATCTCAGCTTTCAAAAATACAAAAAATTTTAGAAATTTTTATTTTAATTTATAATTTCATTAGCGAAAAAAATAGGGTAAACTTGTTATCCGTAAAATTTTCTTCATGTCACTTTCTATATGTTATAGTGGTAGAGATTTTTGAATATTTAGATATTTTTTCTGAAAATTTTACACTTGAAATTTAAAAAATTATGCAGTTTTAATTGATTATAAAGTAATCCTAAGTCTAAAAAATAATATTGTAGTATAATTAAAGTTTTTAAATAATATTCTAAATAATCTCTAATAATTTGGTTACAATATGAAACATTGAATATTTGCACACTTGTGTACTATATTGCCTATCATTATAGCATTTTATGAAATTTTGAAATGAGTTCATTTATATTTTAATTGTTGTAATGCAATGAATTATGCAATTAATTGGTTGAAATGTGTGATTCTAAGTAAATTTCGTGTGGGTGAAAGGAGTTATATTATGGTGCCTACAGCATGTTATGGTACCTACATGCTTATTCTAGTGCCTACGAACATGTTCAGATGCTATATGCACATTCTATTATGGTGCTGTCAATTGGAGGCATAAAAGCCTAAGGTGAATTTGTTACTTTCTATTCTGATATGCGAAGTGCTCATTTATGTACTTTCCTATAATGCTATATAAGCTTTTTAATAATTGTATGTACAATCATGTTAAATGTAATGATTTAATATAAACTCAACAGGACATTTGACAAATAAATTATTTGAAAATTCTAATTTATAAAATGTGTTATGCTGAGCTGTGTTAGCTCATAGTTGTTTCATCTTATATTTTCAGGGTCTAAGAGAGGAAAATGACCAGCTTAGTAGCATTGTTAAGATCTGATATGGGTTAGAATAGATATTTCTTTTTTTTTTTTTGTAGAGTCATGATTAGTTAATTATATTACTTTGTCTCATAGCTCAACCTATAGCCATATATTATTATTATAGATTCATTTTGATGAAAGATGAAAAAGATAATTTTATAGATGTGTTTATTTTTAGTACACTAGATATTGCTAGTAGCTTTGTGAATGCTATTTATTTTAAAGTTAAATTTGGACCAAAAAAATGAATGACTTTTAAAACCTAGTTCCTGGGGTTCACCTATTGCAAAACAACACGATGGGGCATGCCCAATATATGGGTATTATCGGATTGGGTTGTAACAAGTCCTTGCCCATTTGTCCTTGTCGGACCACTATTTGACTGTTGTTGAAACTCCACCGCCCAACCTTCATCGTTGGACCACAATTCGACCACCGATGGACCTTTATTGTCGGGACATTGTCAGTATACTGCCATTGAACCTTTGTCACCTTACCTCTGTTGTTAAACCATCATTGTCAAACTATCTTTGTTAGACTATTGTCTCCTGACTATTATCGTTGGGCCAACATCACCTGACTGTTAACGTCAGATCATTATGGTCCTACCACCACTATCATTGGATCGCCACCATCTAATCGTCGTTGCCCAATCACCAATAATGGGAAGCGTCACTACTTGACTAACATCATCAAACTATTGTGACTTAGCTATTATCTTTTCTACTAGCATCTCTCTCTTGTCATAGAACTTACATGGTGGAATCATTTCAGTTGGCTAGGACCTTATGATTTATTTCCTTTTTGGATTTTTCATGTAAAAACTTGTGTTATTCGTACCCTTTTTATTTACATATTTATGTATTAGATATTCATGCAAAATTAGGATGTAAAGCTCTTATAACCTCAAACTTTCTAACCCCAAACTAGTATGTATAAGATAATGCAAATCCTATTAAAATACTTATAAATGTCATGCATACATGTCTCAATAAACGTCATTTAATGAGCACAAAGACTTATATATGTGTGTGTATGTGCGCACACATGGACTATAACGTGCATGGATTTATTTATTTATGTAATACTCAAATAAATTATTTGAAAATTCTAATTTATAAAATGTGTTATGCTGAGCTGTGTTAGCTCATAGTTATTTCGTCTTATATTTTGAGGGTCTAAGAGAGGGAAATGACCAGCTTAGTAGCATTGTTAAGATCTGATATGGGTTAGCATAGATATTTCGTTCTTCTTTTTTTTTGTATAGTCATGATTAGTTAATTATATTACTTTGTCTCATAGCTCAACCTATAGCCATATATTATTATTATAGATTCATTTTGATGAAAGATGAAAAAGATAATTTTATAGATGTGTTTATTTTTAGTACACTAGATATTGCTAGTAGCTTTGTGAATGTTATTTATTTTAAAGTTAAATTTGGACCAAAAAAAAAATGAATGATTTTTTAAAACCTAGTTCCTGGGGTTCACCTATTGCAAAACAACACGATGGGGCATGCCCAATATATGGGTCTTATCGGATTGGGTTGTGACAAGTCCATGCCCATTATTTCTCGTCGGACCACTGCTTGACCATTGTTGGAACTCGACCGTCCCACCTTCATTGTTGGACCACCATCCAACCATCATTAGACCTTTATCGTCAGGACACTGCCTGTATGATGTCATTGGACCTTAGTCACCTAACCTATGTCATTAGATCATCATTGTCCAACTATCTTTGTTATACTATCGCT